ATATACTTGTGGCGTTCACTTTGCCATCTACCGGCAAAGGGAAACCAAAAATGACATTTTTGGGTTTAGGTTAAGCAGCCAACTTCAAGTAGAAGCTTGGCAGAAATAAAATAGTGAATGAACAATCAAAACGTGTTTCTTATTTGTTTATATAAACTTATGGTATAAGGCCATAAATTGGTGACCCCTTCAAAAAAAAACTTCAAGGAAAACGCAAAATGCAAGAAACTGAACATGCAGAGACTCCAACAGAGACAAATAAATTCCAGCCTATGGAAGCGGAAGCGTCGGCAGTGCAAGCGATTGGGCAAATGAAGTTGCCAAACTTTTTGACCAAGGACCCAACGTTATGGTTTGCGCAAATTGAGGGCCTACTACATATGAGCCGAGTCACAGCAGATTTATCGAAGTTCTATACAGTAATTACTGCGCTGGATGCAGAAACGCTGCAACAAGTTGCGGATATTGCAAAAAATCCTCCTGAAACAGGCAAATACGACAAATTAAAGAAAGAACTAATTTCTCGTTTTTCAGAATCGTCAGAAAAGCAGCTCATAAAGCTACTCACCGGTCTGGAACTTTCGAACAAAAAACCAAGCCAACTGGTACGTGAAATGCGCACATTAGCAGGCGCAAATGTCTCAGAGGAGGCATTAACAACACTGTGGCTGCAACGTATGCCAAACAGTGTAAGATGCATTCTATCAGCATGCAAAACCACAAGTATTGATGAGCTAGCAGAAATTGCTGATAGAATATTAGACAACAGTCCAGTACCATCTTACGTAATGACCACAAACGCCAACAAATCAAATGACAAGTTGGAAGCCCGCGTAACAACATTAGAAAGTTCGGTCCAACAAATAAATCAGCAGCTTATCAACATAGCAGCAACTTTAGACAGATTGGAGAAACGAGACAATCGTGGTAGAGACAACAGCCGCAGCCGCAGCAGTTCTTGCAGACGTGAGAAAGTCTGTTACTACCACATAAAATTTGGGGCAGCAGCGACTAAATGTAGCCAACCGTGCGAGTTTGGCAAACGTAAAAGCGATAATCGACAGGGAAACTAGCGAGGCTGTCGTCATCAAACACGGTTGGCGACAGCATAAAAAACCAAGAGCTACGTTTACATGTGTATGACAGAAAAAACAACATTAATTTTCTAATTGATTCTGGGTCAGCTATATCACTACTTCCACTACCAGGCATCAATCCAAAAAGTAAAATGCAACCAGACGATTTAGTTCTTTATGCAGCGAACAACACTGCAATCAAAACTTTTGGCAACAAGCAACTAGCAATAGATTTAAACCTTAGAAAAGATTTCAACTGGTATTTCATCATCGCTGATGTTAAAACAGCCATAATTGGGGCAGACTTTCTCACGCACTACGGCTTACAAATCGATTTGAGGGCAAAATCGCTCATTGATACGCAAACCACGTTACAGTCAAAGGGTCTACTGAAAGAAGTAGCCCACGAAAATGTTTCGACAATAAATTCATCCATCAAATTCCATGACGTCATCGCAAAATATGTTGACGTAACAAATTTGAACAGGTACCAACTACCAACAACAAACAGCGTTCAACACAGAATAATAACAAATTGCCAGCCAAGATCAGAACGCCCACGGCGTTTTTCAGGTGAAAAATTAAGAGCAATCAAAGATGAGTTCCGTGTATTACTACATCAAGGTATAGTGAGGCCATCCAGCAGCCCCTGGGCAAGTCCTATACATTTAGTAAAAATTGACGACATAGCCGAAAGACTACACAGCAGTAATATTTTCTCTAAGATCGATATCACGAAAGCATATTATAACATACCAATGAATCCAGATGATATTGTTAAAACAGCGGTAAGCACACCAATAGGTCTGTTTGAATTTGTCGTGATGCCATTTGGTCTAAAAAATGCCACACAGACTTTTCAGCGATACATGGATTCAATATTTCGTGAATTAGACTTCGTGTTCTGTTACTTAGATGACATTCTAATATTTTCGGAAAATGACACTAAACATAGAGAACATATTGAATGTGTCCTACAAAAACTAAAAGCTGCTCGATTGGTAATCAACAGTTCGAAATGCGAATTTGGCGTAGAAAAACTCACATTTCTTGGATACGAAATATCAGCGACAGGATTAAATCCCCCACAAGAACGAGTTGAAGTGATTAAAAATTTTACAATGCCAAGTAACATAATGGAACTTCGACGTTTCCTGGGCATTATCAATTTCTACAGAAAATGTATTCCTAAGGCAGCACAAATGCAAGCGCCACTAAATAGTCTCTTCAAAAATTCAATAAAGAATGATAAACAAAAAGTTGTTTGGACCGATCAACTTAAACAATCTTTCCAACAATGCAAAGATGGTATAATCAACGCGACTAAGCTCACATTTTTAGCACCTGACGCACCCATGTGTGTAACCACAGATGCATCAGATGTAGCAGTGGGCGCTCACCTACAACAACTGAACGGCGAGACATGGCTTCCGATAGCATACTTCTCATGCGAACTGAAACCATCACAAATCAAATATAGCACTTATGATAGAGAGCTACTAGCTGTATATATCTAGCAATAAAACACTTCAGGCATTTACTGGAAAGTCGAACCACCATAGTAAAAACGGATCACAAACCACTAATTTATGCTTTTCAACAAAAAATGGACAAGGCGTCCCCTCGGCAACTGCGTCATCTAAATTACATTGCGGAATTTACGACGGACATTATTTTTGTAGCCGGAGGCGACAATATCGCCTGTCGTCACTAAAAATTGCAAGAGCCTTAAGTGTATCCGAATGGCGGTTAAAAAATTTTTTTGCGACTTCTACTTTTTACAGTTCGTCTTTTCATTTCCTCAAACCTTAAGACGAAGAATAATCGACACAGTTCACAACTTATCCCCTGCATTGCATGTCATAAAATCAAAAAATTAGTTGCATTAATCATTTCCTCCAAAGAAATTTCAACACACAAGTCAACGATTTGACCACGTACATGTAGACATTATCATAGTGCCTGAACATAAAGGGTATAGGCATTGCCTCACGATGATCGACAGGTTCACTCGGTGGCCAGAAATCGTGCCCTTAAAGGACATGTCTGCAGAAACTGTA